TTTAATTAAATTTAATTTTTTAGTTTGAAGTTAATAGAAAATCTATCAATTATGTAAACATATGCATAAACATTTCCATGTTTTGATCATTTTCCCTTTTTAGCCTAAATAGTGAGACGCGATAATGCGCGACAGTATTTAATTTATATTGACTTAGCATTGCGAAAAACAAAACTATATTTCAGGAAAATACCATCAAATCTTCTTCAAAATTGTTTTCTTGTAAAATTAGTTGAATTATTCAGTTGATTGTTGCACTTTGTTATTTTATCATTGAAACACTTAGCTATAAAATGTTAATTTCAATTAAGTTCTTATACGATATACATATAAGAACAACTTTTCCTCCTTGCTTAATAAACCTTTTCAAATAACGTATCACTTATCATTCATTTTTGTATTTATTTTCATATTCATCAATGTAATGAAAAAATTAAAGTTCCTTACTTATAAACACTTCTACTTGAAGACACTTAAACAGTAGCGTCGATATGGGAGCTACATATTCACACATCGAAATGCACTATATATAAATCTTTCTTTACAATAAATGATCCGGCAAGACAAGCTACGTTTATATGATTTTTTTTCCCTTATCTCGTAATTTTACTTACTAATACCGAATTTTTACCAATTTCGATTTAATTATCCCATTAGCCCATATATCGTTGGTCCTTTACATAACATTTTTTGCTTTAATTTAAACGATTTAATCCATGATTAAATAACGTAAACGTTTGCGTACCACAGCATCACGTGGCAAAGAAAGAGCCCATTTTTTAGGGGCTGTTAATATAACGGAACTAACTACTAAAACAACACCCAGGAATAACCGGTAGGTGTTTCACCAAGATTTTCCAGATTTCTGACTAATAATTTGAGAAATTATACCAAAACCAGGTAGTATTAAAATATAAACTTCAGGATGGCCAAAAAATCAAAATAGATGTTGATAAAGAATAGGATCTCCCCCTCCAGCTGGATCAAAAAATGAGGTATTTAAATTACGATCAGTTAATAATATTGTAATAGCCCCTGCTAAAACAGGTAAAGATAATAATAATAATAATGCAGTAATTACAACTGATCATACAAACAAAGGTATTCGATCAAAAGAGATACCAGTAGCCCGTATATTAATTACAGTAGTAATGAAGTTTACAGCCCCTAAAATTGAAGAAATTCCTGCTAAGTGAAGGGAAAAAATAGCTAAATCAACTGGTAGTTGTTTCACCAAAAAACATAATTTGCCATATAATGGCAAAAACGATTTCGGCGCAACGAACTATAGCGACGAGGCTGGCTTGTCTCATTTGTAAAGATAATGTTAAAAGAACTTGTCCTAAGAAACTAAGTATACCCAATACAACAACGACTTGTCTGTCATGACCGCAAGCTGACCAACAAATGGCGAACCGCATACTAATAAAGTGTAGATTAAGGCAAAAGCAACAAAGTTAGTAATATATATAAACATTAGCTCCGAATAAAGAACTTTTACCAGCATAATGTTCACTTTCTAGGGCGGAGAGTGATATCGCGATACACAAGGAAGCCGAGTTATTAACATTACTCCCACCAAAGCTTCACTACTTTGAAAAAGATAAATAAATTTTTTTTTATTTCTTTTTTTAATTTTTTTTTTTTCGCAATGGTTAACTACCTTGAACATCTAAGTCCACTTCTAAAATGAATTTGATTTTATGTAAACTTCGATTAGGTAAATTCTTCGCTAATAGTCGTTACCTAATTTCCCTTGTAATTTTCCTTTTCACCGTCATTAAAAATTTCGTATTTATTTTTATGCACATGTATTTTATGTATCTTTATGTATTTTTAGGTGATGCGGAGAAAGGAGAATAAATGTTTCCAATATTTACATTCCAACAAGTGGTCGCTCATTTACTTACTCTCTAAAGTTGTGAAATTCGAAGTTCCCCTTCACATAGTTTATAAAAAGTACCATATGTTCAGAATAGAGAAATCACAGAGTTGTTTTTTTTTATTATGGCTGCTAATGTGAACGAATCTAAACAAAAGCTGATGGAATGTTGAAAAAATTAAACACAAGCTGGAGAGTAATAGTATACATTTATGATCATTATAACATAGAATGTTTTCGTTTTTATTTTGCAAATTCGGTTGAAAGTTAATTTGAATGTAAATATCGTTGCATATCTTAGAAGATATATACGCGTGTACATACTTATTAATATTTGTAAACAATTGCATCTGTTTTTCATTCGAATTACTATAAACTATAACTAAATTAAAAAACCTTGTATCGATTTATTTCCATGCCGACTATGCTTTCCATTTTGCTACTCTTTTAAAAATTTTTTTAGGTTCTATCCAGTATTAATATAAACACCATGGATACATATTATAATACAAATATAATTTGTTTTATTTGCATTTTTTATTTTGAAGAGCTGAAATATTCGCCGAAGTGTGGATAGACCACAAAGATACGGTTTACCGCGAAGTAAAAGAAAAACAAATAAAAAAAGTATTAAAATTGAAAAACATTACAAAACTAAAAAAGCAAAGTTGTTGCTAATAACTCTAGAATGCAAACTCCAAATCCCTGGGTCGAAAGCCATCAATATAACATCCATTCATCCAAATATGTAGAAAATAGCTGGCTGTAGGTTGAATATAAAAAGGCAAGAGAAACAGACAAGATTAGATCGAGACAACGAGTGATTCTGGATCGATCGGTGTAATAAAAAGTATATCCATCATTAACATAGCTTTGTACCACAAATGATATGGGATGTTAAAACCGTAAAGTGCCTCGGACAAACTCTCATCTTAAGCAAATACATCAAACACATTTTGAGTACATCTACCTACAAAATATCTAAATATTTTAACACTTGAGTTCACTAAATGAAGCGAATGGAATAGAAAATACAAATACAATTACAGCATCCTTGTGATTCTCAACGACATAAAAATTAACTCGAAAATATTCAAAATTGTTTGTTTAATGCTTTAGCCAAATTTCTGTGTATACATATTATAATAAAAATATAATTTGTTTTCTTTTATTTGTTGTCTTGCGAAATATATAAACCAGTATTGCAGAAATACTTCCTTCTTTTAAAACGCAATTTTGGGATTTTTAACATTTTAATTTTTTTCACATTTTTAATTAAATAGAGCATTAAAAATATTTACAAAACAGTCTTGTACGTCTATCTAATATTCAAAATAGTTTTAAACATAAATTTTCTTCTTTTTCCCTTATTGCCATAAAGAAAGCCCTGATTTAATCTTTAGGAATAGAAATTATTTCGTAATATATTCATTTTTTCTTTTTTGAACTTAAGTAAACGGCTACATATCCATCTAACATTAAAAATAGCAAATGAAACCTAAAAGCACATTACATTTAAGTATTTCTCATTGCTGTCGCCTGGTTTTTTCTTCAGATTCTGATGGCTTATCTTTTAAAACATATTGTAGTTCTTGATCTATTCGTTCTTTTGCACGAAATACTTTGGATTGCAAGTAGAAAGAACCGCCTTTAACTTTTTCATTCACCGCAAGTAAATGTTCGTAGTTTTTATGAATTTGTTCTATGTTATCCAAATCACTGAGATTTAATATCTGCTTAGCTTCTTCTAATGTCATGCCTGGAAAGATTAGAATTAATATAAAATATTTTATAAATCATTTTTGCAGTACCCGTTCTTGCATTGACTTCTGCTCGTTTTTCACCATTTCTGCCGCCGCCAGATCGCCGTGCAGCCTCTTGAGAGGCGGCTATTTCTTGTTTTAATGCCTTTGCAAACGCTCGACCTATTGCTTGGCTACCAAGTATAATAATTTGAGCTAAATATTTTGCCATAACCGCTCTATTAGTCTGTTCTGCGATGTTTGACTGTTCTCATTAAAAATTTATGAACACAATTTTAATATTTAAAAAAATATAAGAATATTTTACATAAATTTATAAGATTTTATAGACAAATTCGTTAAATTGAATTTACTTATTATTCAATCGTTTCTAACCTTAAGATTTGCATTGTTTAAAATGTCAACACAATATGGGGAACAGCTGTGCGAGAGTGCAACCAAGTTTCCTACAGTTTAACTCATACTTCATTCTTTTTATTTATTGTAAATGACAATTAATATTGAAAAAGCAATGAGTAATCGAATAAGCCGAAGTCGAACATATGGCATCAAATTTATTTACGCATTTTATTATTGCTATTATGGTACTGGCTCGTAAATTAATCAAAAGAGAAATATTAAGCAGAAATAATTGAAGAGGTCGAATGAAATTCGTATTTGGTCTTTCTTAGGAATTTTATGATAAGAAGGAACAAATTTGCACATGCGTGCGGAGATGAAGAAAAGAGTTTTAAGAAATCGATTGACATTCTAGTGTAGTGTGCTTTTACTTTTTATTATCTTGTGGACGGACGGTGGTGTATGTATAATGTATAATGATTCGTTTTGGACTTTGTGTGTAAACTCTGTAAAAAAGCTATGTTGAAAGAGTTGAATGCTTAATATGAACAGTTCTCAGAGGACCTTCAAAGCAGGAAGCTATCAACGAGAGTTCGTCTAAAAGAAAAGAAACGATTTTTTTCAGTTTAATCCTAAAAATATATATAAAAGTTAATAATAAAATAGTGCAAAGCTTACAAAAAAAAAAAAAAACTATAAAAAAATAACTAAACGTAAATTAAAAAATTATCATAAATTTAATAGATTTCGAATAATTTTGTTTTTGACCCTTACATGGTCTAGTATCGATTTTTTTTTCCTTTTTTTGTGAAAATTTTTTAATGGAAACATTTTCATCTATAATTTTTTTCTTCCTTTTTTAATTATTACTGTTTGTTGCAATTCCTTACGAAAACAACAACAACTATTGTAAAAACAAATTACATAACTTTGCAAATAAATGAAACATTAATGAAAATCTGTCAAAAAGTTCGAATGTAACGTAATCAACCCTAAACAGACCGAAAAGAAAAATCGCAATTCATTTACATATCGGTTGTATTCGTGTGTTGTCGTTTTGCTTTTTTTAACTGTGCACATTTAACAAATTCCTATTAACGGTATCGTGTTAGTGATAAACTTCTCCCTTTTTCTATTATCCTTTTGCTTTGTTTTCTTTCTTCCACAGCTCTGTGAACGTTGAATTAGAAACACTCTCTTCTCTTATTTATTTGATAGCAACGCTGCGTTATCGATTTTGTTAAAAGAAACCAGTTAATAAGAAATATAAGTAAACAGTAAAATTATAAAAAGAAAAAAATTTATATATATACATATAGTTTCAAGTGATTATATATAAATTTATATAAACATATTCCCTTAAATATGTTCTCCAATATTACAAATCAATTCACCAATTTGGTGGGTGCTGTGAAAGGTGGCCAAGGTGAGGAAGGTGAAGTTGCTAATCAACCTGAAACTCAGGCTCCCGTTACGACACAGCACGAGGTGCCAGTTGTTCCAGATGCGGGTGCTGAAGCAGGACTTGAAGGTGATGATGCTGCCAAAAGGTAAGCTTTAATTGCTTAATTGGTTGGGGATTAATTTCTATAATATTAATTCGACATCTAAACTATTCATATAGATATTACCACGTGCGTATAAATATCAAGTTACCTTGGATGTATACTGCCATGTATTATTTATCTCCCCATCATTCCTTCACTGAAGTTGAAAGGAAAAAAATCGAGAGATAGTAGAAAACTACCCTTGCCAAAAAATGCAATTTTCTTTTTTCTATTTTTCTAAAGTGAGACGTGTATATGTACGCATAATACTCTCGCTCTTCGCCTCTTATTACTATGTGGTCATGTTATTTATCAGAATTTTTCTCTTCAAGGATACAAGACGTGTGTGTTCTTGTTTTTGCCTATGTAACCTAGAAACTTCAATTATACATAACTATTTTTCTTTTTGTTTTTTTTAAATTTTAACTGCACGTGATTATCATTCTAATTCCAAGCATCGTTGAAATTAAAAAAAAATCTTTATTTTGTAACAGTTCCTTTGCAGGACATACGAATTCTTCAAGTCTAAAGGCCCCCCTAGCATTTTTTTAATTTATTAATGTTGATAGTTCATCCATCTACTTACATATGGCAAGCAGCTGTCATTAGAGCGCCATATATTATCGTTGATTTTTGAAACTCTAATTACTAATCCTTTGCAGTCGCATAAATAACAAATATATCGAAATACGCTCGCAACACTCAACAAGCAAAGCTTTCGTATTTCATTTTATTCAAAAAACAAAAAAAAAAAAAAAGAAAACTTTTATGTATATATGCATCTGTCGATCTTAAAATGAATTTACCGTATGTTCATTGAATAATTTACAAAAGAAAGAGAAGAAGAGAAGGGTATGCGTGGAAAAGAGGTTGCAATCGGAAGACAGCGGATATGTACATTTTTTTTCCAACGTCTTCGTTACCAACGTTGCTAGTCATACTGTTTTGCTTCGTGGAAGAACTATCTGTTGTTTCCATTAGCGCTCAAGAAAAATCCCAATTAAATGATAAAAACAAACGAAGCTTGGTACGTAGACCTACTTGCACTATGACATAATTTTAACGCAACCTAGACATACATACGAATATAAGCTTGGACAAAACTACATTTTCATTTTGCTAAAGGCAATGTCATATATCCGAAAAGCAACATACTGAGCAACACATATCTCTGTGGATATCATATCAACAAAACCAAAAAGTAGACTTCGAATCTTTTGGCTTTTGTCGAATTTATCATGAGATTCATAGTCAGGACTTTCTATTCTATTTTTTTTTTTCATTTTGCTAACTTATTGGCATAATTTTTTCTTTATTTTTCATGCTATTCATTATTCCTATTCCATTTAAAATTTATTTGTTCAATACGCAGTAGATAAAGATAATAGATGTCTTCTAATAATGAATAAAAGTAAATAATTGGTATTGTATAAAAAGGCATTTTATAGTAAGGTACGGCACGGTTAAAAAGAAAGTTTAGAAAACTGCTATAAATCAGTTAAAGAAATATTCGAAAAGAAAAGAGATAGTTAAAAGAAAGCTGGAAAGAAGAGAAAGGAAGGAAGGACGTTCATTGAAGCAACCAAAAAAAAAAAAATTAAATAAATGAGAAAAATTTTGTTCTTTTAATTTTTCACTTTTTCAAATATGTTAAGTTAATTTACTTATCAAATGTAAAACGTGGCAAACAAGGAAAATCTCTCGGTTTTTTCCTTTTCGCTCTTTCCTTCTTTCGTAATTCTGTCAGCGTCGACATAGATTTCATTAACTTCCTTGCGATTGTCTCCTTTATCATAAAAGGTGGGTCGACATGATAATTCTTTTGTATTGTTTTAAATACAGAAAAAAAAAAAAGAGAACGTCAACAGAAAGAAAGAAGAATTCTTTCCTAAGCGTATATAGTATTGACGACTATATGTATCTATATATATACATATATGTGTGAGTGTAAATACATATATATATAATACGGAAATGAAAAGAAGAAGAATGTAAAATAGGGAAAACGTAATATTGTCCTTCTCTTTTTTGGTTCACAATCAGAGTTTGCGCAGTCGTCATTTACGTTGCTTTATTCATATCAAAAAAAAGGTTAGTTTTATTATCATAATTTTAATCTTTTTTTTTTTTTTTTTTTTTTTATTAAAATGCCAATTTTTCAAATAATCTTATGTTGAAATCATTTAAAAGCTTTAAAACAACTCTAGAGCAAATGTGTTTGTCGTCAAACACTAACTCTAATACTACGTTGTCCCGTATATGGGACCGTAATTGATAGAGAAAAGTATGAAACAATTTTCGATTTCTTTTCAACGTTATTTCAGTCTTTTATTGCGTATTGAATAAATCCAATCCAATTTTGAAAATTGATTTCGTAATTGTTCAAGGAATATTAATGCCGGACTTCAGTTTCCTACCTTTATTTTTGTGACTTTGGCGATTCCACAAAAAGAAGAGGAAACACAGCAGATTTTTTATGTTTCTTAGAGCATTTGGTAAGGAAACATCAGTTGGTGCGGAGATAAGCAGTACCGAGAATATCTTAAGGCAGCCTCATCTTCGATTGCACTACGATCCATCATAATTTTCTAAATCGATGTCAATATATCTGTCCAAGGACTTTTGCTTTAAACTTACCTACGAAAGTTGATGCACCAGCGTGGAACAAATACTGATGAAAATGGACTCGATCGGACCGTTTTTGCGAACGCTTCTCAGATGCACATAAGTTTGCTGCGCCGACTGTGAAGCGCGTGGCTTATCTAGAATATTTGCCACATTAGAATTCTATTCAGAAGTAACTCTTTACAGGGCAAAAGAGATGAACCTTTAGTCTGTAGATCAACCTTAAGAATTTCATTAATAAAAAAAAGAAATTTAATTTTGCTAAATTTCGCCCACTTATTGAACACCTTCCCTCCGAATAAGTGTAGTCATGAATGGTGAATTTTTTACATGAGAATAGAACAAAATGACAGGTACGACAAAAATTGGTGAAGAATCTTGTTGGACGAAATGTTACGAGATATGTAATCGATGGGCATTGTTCACATTGTGAGTGTTAACTACTTCTAAAACCATCAGATCGTTTTGATAATTTATCCACAATTATCAAGAGAAAACATGCAGAAGCAAATAAAAACTTGTAATGGGCTACGTCCCAACACACAATACCTTACACCATATCGCTTACACCATACACACTCGTTTATACAATCAGTTTTCAAAATAAGACGTCATGTGGAAAATATCACTTCTCTATATATTAGGTAGTCCGGAAAGTTCTTGCCGTTTTTGCCAAGAGGTTAACTAAGTTTTTTCCGTTAGCGAGGGAGATAAGTACAGTTAAAGATCTATCTAATTTTATGGAGCAGGCTTCTGTTTATATTGTAAAAAACTTTCAAAGGGATCGTTTGTCTTATAGTCACCCGATATAATTTTTAAAAAGGAAAATCGAAACTAGCATATAAAGCATATTTTACTGTTTCATTTCAAAAAAACGAAAATAACTGCAAAGCAAATATAGAAATATGTGCTGTGCATGGTACTGATCATATAGCTGAGCACATTTGCCAAAATTGTTTTGCGAAATTTCATTTTAGAAATTTTTCAATGAAAGCTTTATTGCGATCTGATAGGCCAAATGCCAACCAAATGCCGAAATCAAAACGATCGATTTCGGAAAAGAATTATACCTGATGATGAAAAATAGATTCGGCGCCAAAGTGAGCAAAGCAATAGATCATAATCGAAACACTGTGAGTCCGCTCAAACATCACTAAAGCTGGATATGCATGAAAAAAAGATTTTGCTGTCAGTATGATAGGATTATAAAGGAATTGTGTAGTATGAGATGGGAAGTTTTATGTGGGCGAGATAATGAAACTGCCTCAGAAGTGCCAACTTATTATTATTTGACAAAGCATCATATATATGAATTAATAAGGAAAACCCGCAAGAAATTTTCGGTTTACCTAATATGATGAAGCAATAAATCGAAGCGATTGACACCTTGTTATAAGAATACCATCCTACCTTTGTGTGTGTGTGTGTTATAAGAAAAGAAACATAATATTTATGAACAATAATAATTGTAGGGATAGACTACGGCAACCAAGATCTTAAGCCTTATGGAATATGGAGGTATTCGTTATATCACTGATTATAATAATGTTGCTAAATATGAAATTCGGTAAATCGAGATCTGTTCAAACCTAGAAAAAATTCGCAAATTTATTCCGATCGGCTAATTTCTATCTTTCGAAAGAAGGTAACATTTGATGTGGTGGTAGGGAGATCGGGAATAATTATTCCCAAATTTAAAAAACTGCAATATTTCACGCATCAATACACGCGGGCACTTATAGAGTACAAATGCCCATTTTATCGTTGCTTATCTTGTGTCCCCCAATCTTCGGTGATGGGTATGAAAACATATCAACAAAAACAATCTCACTCAACTCAGGTTAGCATTTCTCGACTCGTCGTCTATAGTTAATTTCTAGCTTCGCACTTGTTTACGACAATATTTTAAGGTCAATTGTGAACTGTTTTGTAACAAGACGAAATTCACAGTATACTCATATCAAGGAACTATTAGGTCGAGTCATAAGCGCAGGTAGGTAGAGCCTGTTGTTCGTATTTAGCTACTATAAGCCAACGAAACAAACGAGTTTTTGTTTTCACTGCATAGTTGAGAATTCAGTTAGTCACTTAGTGGCTGTCGGATTCAAATGTTTTTCTTAACCTCTGAAATGGAGAGTCGAAAGAGCATATTCGAGTTCTAATGATTTGGGAATTTAACTAAGGCAATACCGCTAAGGCAACAGCTGATAACCGATCGGACAGTTAGAAATTGGTTTACAAAATTCCGTTCTGGAGAAACGACTTTCCAAGACGAACCAAGGACGGGACATCCTTCCGACTTTAACGAGAACTTCTTAAGGACAATACTGGAGCAAAAGCCACGCCAATCAGCAAGAAGTATAGCAAAAAGTTGAACA